TGGTCTGCGCTACCTAGTCCACACGAGGCCAGGCATTGCGTTCGCTATGGGCTACGTCAGCCACTTCATGGAGGATCCCCGAGAGGATCACTAGGCCGCGGTGAAGCGGCTACCGCGCTATGTCAAGAGGATGGTGGATCAGGGAATCATCTTCCCCAATATCGGCAGAAGTGGGCTGCAGCTCACTGTGTCCAGCAATGCAGACATGGCGGGGGTCATCGATGGACGGCGGAGCACGTCGTCGGCGTGTATGTGGAAGACTTGATCATCACCGGCATGCGTGCGGAGGACATCGACAGCTTCAAGCGCGAGATGGCGGCTTATTTTCGAATGAGCGATCTCGACGCGCTCTTCTACTACCTCGGCATCGAGGTGAGACAGAGGAAGGAGGCGTTCATGCTCGGTCAGAGCGCGTACGTCTCAAAGCTGTTGGAGCAGAGCGGCGTGGCCCAGTGCAAGCCGTGCGTGACTCCAATAGAGGAACAGCTAAAGCTGATGAAGGCCAGTACCGCGGTGAAGGTAGATGCAACACTCTACCGGAGCATCTTCGACGGTCTGCGCTACCTAGTCCACACGAGGCCGGACATTGTGTTCGCCGTGGGCTACGTCAGCCGCTTCATGGAGGATCCCCGAGAGGATCATTGGACCGCGGTGAAGCGACTGCTGCGCTACGTCAAGGAGACGGTGGATCAGGGGATCGTCTTCCCCAATACCGGAGGAAGTGGACTGCGACTTACTGTGTTCAACGATGTAGACATGGCGGGGGACATCGACAGATGGCGGAGCACCTCTGGCGTGCTCGTCTTACTCGGGTCGGCTCCAATCTCATGGCTATCGCTGAAACAGAAGGTGGTGGAGCTGTCCACGTGCGAGGCAGAGTACGTGGTGGTGGCCACAGTGGCGTGTCAAGCTGTGTGGCTGAGCCGGCTGTTGGGCGAGCTGACCGGTGTGGAAGCTCACCCACCAACACTAACGGTGGACAACCAGCCCGTCATCGTCCTCGCGAAGAATCCGGTTCTTCACGACCGGAGCAAGCACATCGTCGTCAAGTTCCACTTCCTTAGGGACTATGTCGATGGAGGGCAGATCGTTATCGAGTTCATCGAAACTGGTCGGTAGCTCGCGGACGTCCTCACCAAGCCGCTCGGCCGTCTTCGATTCACGGAGCTAAAGAAGATGATCGGCATGGCGAAGGTTCTAGGGTTAGCAGCAGGATTAGGGAAAGAATTGTAAAGTAATCTGCTGCTCCCCTGTACGCGCAGCAGGGCAGGCGCCGAAAGGCTCCACTGCCGCACTGTAGCCACAGCAGGGGCAGGCGCCAAAATCAGCCCTGCTGTCTCATCTAGTCATTGTAGCAGCATGGCAGCCTGGCATGTCTGTGCATTATGATTAGATGTGTATAGTTGTATATATAGCTTCCCACTGCAATTCAGTAAAGTGAGCGAGTTCAGTTTTGCCATCTTCTCTGCAGAGCTCCGGCCAACTCTGGTGCTTGTGCTGTGTGTACTCTGTTCTCCCTCCCTTCTTTTATCTCTAGCCATAGTGTGTGGTCGGTAATGCCGGTTGACGGTCGGCTCACCCGTGCGGGAGATCTCGGGGCCAACAGACACAAGGTAGTTCAGTTTTTGTTTTTTCATAGACATGTCATTTAGGGGTGATGTTTGGCCGCGAGAAACTCGTTTTAGGTTCTGTCTGTGGAATCACTGCTAAAATGACATAGAGAGAAACGTTTTAGGGAGAATCATTTGAAACTGATTTTTGTTTTTTACCAGATTGTTAGATGAATTGATTCTGATAGAGAAATATTGTTTCTATAGACAATTTGGATAAAAAAAACGTTTCTATAAAAATTTAGAACCCTGCCAAACACACCTTTTGATACAAAGATAAATGAATGTGAGATGAAAATGTCTAAGAAGTTTGGAGAATACAAAGCCCAAAGAGCACACGGTGAGATACCGTAGCTTCCCTGGAACGACAAAAGGTAAAGGAAAAGGAAGAAAAACAGTTGCGGCAGCACACGGGGTTGTGATTTACATAAACCATTTTGCGACTAAAGGTGACTGGCTAAAGTACTAGACTGTACTCACAATGAAGAGATGTCTATTGTTTTAAACGATGAAGATGTACAAATGAGCGCATCTCGTAGCTGTTACATGAGTTGGTTGTCATTCAACACATATAATATATTTTTATACGTACCCTGCTCCATTGAAATATACAAGACGTGACTGATTTTCTGTTTTCAAGTCGGATCCGATCGATCCATGCTATGTGTTCCTTGCGTAGTGGTTTATTTTGTTTGGATTTGATTTCAATTTGATTTGATTCTGAAAAGGTCCGTTGGTTTTCATGGAGCACGTTTATTTGACCCGGACTTTTGCATTTTAGACGGAAGAAAGATGCTTTGTCTTGTTCGTTCGGCACACGGGCTTTTGCGTTTTCATGAAAAACCGGACGTGCTGTGGAACGAGGAGCGAGATGAATTGGCGGGCTCCAATCTCAACTGAATCCGACGTGTGCCGTAAGTACGTGCCAATGAAAGAGGTGAATCAAGGACATGCTCGGTAGATCTTTTTCTGTTTTTTTTTTAGGGAATCTTTTTCTTTTTTTTAAAAAAAATCTTTTTCTGTTTTGATTCAACGTGAGAAAGAAAAATTATGTGGAGCCCAGACTTAAAGGCCGGAAATCCTACTAGAAGGAATGGGCCTAGCTCAATAAAGCTCTCTACCACGTAATAGGCCCATGGGCCTACGGCCTAAGCCTTCGGTTGCCAACTTGGAATGATTCCCCAGTTGCCCTTATGATCACGCATTCACGCCACTGCCGTGCCGTTTCCCTTCCCCGTCACACCTTTGGCTTTCTTCCCCCAGCCCACCCCCACGGCCTTCCCACTTCACACCACCACCGCTCCGGCGCCGGCGACCTCCGCACCGCATCGCCCCCACCGATCGTCCTGAGGTAAACCTTCTCAACTCGATTGCGCTCCGGGCTGCATGTATCTGTCCGTTCGATCTGTTCAAGGGAGTGTGAGGGCTAGGTCTAGGTGTAGGTCGATCTGTTCGCCGCCAGTCGCGTCGAGTTGTCGCGATCGTGATCTAGTCCACTGACTCGTCGTGGGGGGTTTTGATCGGCCGCTTGCTCGCCCATCTGTGTTCTGGTGCGCTTTGTGGCGTGGATCGGGTAGGGGTCTGCTGCGAACTTGGGATACAGCCGCTTGCTCTCCCTGCTGTGTTCTGGTGCGCTTTGCGGCTGGGATCGGGGTAGGGGTCTGTAGAGCTAGTTCGGTTGGTCGCGTGGGTGCTGGGAAGAGTGGAATGCTGATGCGTGTTCTCTGTTTATTTACTGTGATGATGTTCGTTTGTTATTCATGGGTCTGATCCGGATTCTGTGTTAGTATTGAGGAGCTGCTTTGTCTTGTACACGGGATGGAAGAGCTGGTAGCTTGTGAAGATCAAATAGATTATTAGACTGCACTTCTACCACAGCTGCAGCAGCTGATGCTGCTTGATTTCTACAGGTTTTACACAGTAGTATTGCTGCCGCTTCAGCCACAGCGCTGCTGCAGCCAGCTTCCGATTGCAGTCAGAATTCGTGTATAGAAGCAGTAGCCGATGATTTGTAGTAGCAAGGGATACAATGATTTTTGCCTGTTATTTGCATTACTACGGGCCTGATGTCGCACATTGATGTATTGCTAGGTTGTAATTTTGGTTCTGGTCCAGTACGGCTTATTGAATCTAACTACTTCGATTATTCTTCGTTATTTGGTTATAAAGCTTGTGGGATTATACTATTACTTGCTTCTGTTCTTCTAAATCGTATTAAATCACCCCATTTGATTTATTGGTAGGTTGTCATTTTGGCTCTACTCTAGTATGGCATCTTGTCTTGAATCTGATTAATTTAATTATTCCGCGTTGTTTCGGTTATAAATCTTTTAGGACTACACAAATATTTGCTGTTTTTTAAAATTACCCCATTTGATGTAAGTTGTTAGATCTTTACCAGCAATTAAGCCAGTGACTGTATCTTTTGGATAGTTACTATTCCTAATTTTAGAGAATTGGTCCATTACTTCTGGGATTTAGTTCTAGAACTCGAATGCGATAAGCTAACCACTGTTTCTGTCTAGGAGCCTGGGTCCTCCTTTATTCTATTTTTTAATGAACTCATTTTGATATCTTGGGCCACTAGTCAAATGTTCCATTACTTCATCTGTGATCACTTTTCAATTCTCTAGAAGGGAATGACGGGCATAACAGTTCCTTAATTGTTCTTTATGAAAATTAGGATGTTATCTGCATGTAATCGAATATTACTGTTTCTGATTAATGGGAGTGCGCCTGATTGGAGCATTCTAGTCTCAATAAAAAAAGTGAAATAGTTATGCTTTTATTTCACTGCCTTCTTTGGAATATCCTTCTCTATGTTTGAAGAAGAAAAATCTATCCACATGTTTATCATGTAATCCTGTATGATGATATTGAAACAAAGTCAGCGTTTTATATTTTTCCATATAGCTGAAGCACCCATCAATAATATTCTGATTGATAGCAACTACTTGCATCCATTTGCTAGTTATCATTCGAGCATATTGCCGGTTTTGTCATTTGCATTCTGTAGTCAGTATTGTTGTCAGCAACATTCTAAATTTAGCAAACTAATTGTTGTTTTAAAAATTCTCCTACATTTGGAAATTTACTCTTCCAGAAGTATTGTATTCTGGATTACTCTAGCGCAAGAAGATTAATTTTGTGATGCACATGAGATCAGAATATGTACTAACACACTTGATCTACTTCGAATTTTAATTTTATCCCTTCTGCTCAGTTTCAAACTTTATTGCTTTGAATTGGCACTTCGGACCATATCACTCTCTTGATATAAGTTATGCATGGCTACTCTGTGAATTCTCTTGTTTGCTGTTGTAAATTGCACATATATATTTGCGCTGAATTTTGTCTTTGTACATTTACAGATTTGTTGATCAAAGAACCATGGAAGGATCGTTCCAGTTGAATCCAAACGCCAGCCCTTTCATACCTGGATCGCTGGGTTCATTTGCACACAAAGCCCCAGAAAAACAAGGAGGTGAGACTAAAGATTTTTCTAGTGGTTCTGTAGGTTTTGAACTCTCAGATTTGCTTTATTCATATGAATACACTGAGAGCTCAGCAGGTCTTATCATTTCTGCAGGGTCATCATCAAAGGGAGAGGCTTCTGGTAGCAGTTTTGATCCTTCGCAGCATGAGGAAAATGACATTGATGAACTTGCTCTAGCCAACATGGTCTTTTCAGTGTTCCCAAATGTGTCTACAGATTTCATTGATGAGTTACTCAAGGCAAATGATTTTGACATAAATCTGTTGATATGCTTCATGAGCTGAACTCACAAGATATGCTTCATGATGATGCTAAGGCTACCAATGACCTTCATAACGGCCAGGTATTTTAAACTCTCTTTCGCTGCCCAACCTTGCCAGCACCCCTCTATCTATCCATCCATTCCAGTTCTTTGTAAGCAAAGATGTGCTGTGAGCCTTTGGACAAGGTTTTTTGTGCAACATACAGTTCTGCTCATTGATTGACCTATTCATCGCCAGGGTGTACCTGGTGCTGATTACCACAATGCTGAGGTGTCTGAGAGTAGCAGCAAGATGAGTCAAGATCTGCAGAATGAGAAGTCAGCAACTTCTGATGTGAAATCTGTGCTGCCAAAGTTCTCAGAGATCAATTTGCTTCACAACGACCTGGTATGTGCGATTCCCTCAATATACTGTACTTCTGGATACATGTATTGTTGCTGCCTTGCTGGAGATACATTCATGAATCATGACACCTGTTGGACAACCTTTCCTGACTGGCTTATTTATCGCAGGGCCTGCCTGATGATGAGAAGTCAGCGGGGACTTCTGTTGCAAAGTGATCTTAAATATCAAGGCGCTCTGTTTGATCCGAGTTATGGGTTTATCGTGTACATACTAGTTGCATCCAGAAGTGTGGCTTGGAGGACAAAGCAGTGGAAGCTACTGTTCCATTCCCGTTCGCAGGACTAGTTAACTGTTTCTGGTGGTTATCCTTAGTTTCAAATCGCTTGTTCAGGTTCTTTGGGCTGAGTAGTTAGGTATTTCTGGTGGTTATCATGAGTTTTACACCCCGGCTCTTAAAGACCGAGTAGTATCTGGTGGTCATCCTGATTTTACATGTCTTGGTTAGCTGCTTTGGGTTTGGTACCCAGTTAGTTTAAACAATGCAATTTATGCCGTGACTGCCCGTTATGTGTGATGTTCTGGGAGTGTTAGATCCATACTGCTTGTGGTGCTGTGCTGCTGTTTCCAGATTACCCAGTCATATATAACCAGTAGCTTATATCATCAGATCATGCCACCTCCCAGTCGTTTTACTTTGTGCTTGATCGTCAGTCGATTGAGTTGAGTTCGCTAGTGCCATTTCCACAAGCAACAAGTATCCTGTAGTTTCATCTGGAGGATGAGGCTTCTGTGTATGTAGAATCAGAAGTACTAAGGCCGGCCTAGTATAAATAAAACTTATAAATTTATAAACGCTGGACACAGCACGGCAGCGCGATTTTTTACTTATACGAAAACAACTCAGAAACATAATGAAAACAGCCAAAACCACCGACCTCATGCATAGCCTCACTCCCGAGGTAGCTGACTACGAATTGCCGGAGCATGGCGAGCTGCAACAACCAGCCGAGCTAGAGCTCGCGTTTATTTAGACGCACGTGTGTCTGTCTGTCTCAGTCTGTCCGTCCATGGATCTGCCGTGGACTCGCAGTAGTATACGTCGCCGGCGGCGACGGACGGAGCAGGCTCTCGATCAGGCATCAGCACTTCATCATGGGGAGGCCGCAGGCGCGGGTGACGCTCTGCGCGACGGGGCCGTTGACGTAGCCGCGGTACGTCGGGTCGCGCTTGTACTGGCAGAGGCACGGCTGCTGCGCCCGCAGCGACGCGCAGCACCGCGGCGTCACCGCCCCGCCGAACAGCGCGCCCGCGCACGCGCTCAGCGCCGACGGGTTGCACGACGCCGCCGCCGCGTCGTCCACCGTCGCCGCGAGCAGGACGACGCACAGCAGCGCCAGCGCCAGCGCCTGCTTGCCCATGGCCGGCCTCGGTCTCCGCTCAGTTGCTTCGGATGGAGTGGCCGGAGAAGGATGGGGATGGACTGCGCTGTATGCCAAATTGCCAAGTGACTGAGTGAGTAGGCTGGTGCGCGCGAGGTGCGTACTTATAGAGAGACCTGCGCGCGGCTCGCGAAGAATGAAGCGATCGAGCCGAGGAAGCAAAATTTCATGGAGGGAGGGGAGGAACCAGGAGAGGAAGGCTCTGGATCGAGATCGCCGTGGTGCAGTGCATGGGCAGCCACGCTCTGCGTCGTGGGCGTGCATGGCCAGCCATTCCTTGAACTCTCACACATGCATGCACCGACGGCGCATGGTGGTTGGCAGGGAAGGCAAGGGAAGATGCGTGTCTCGCAATTTAAAGCTGCTAGCTAGCCGTGACACTCTATGGCTGCTCTCTCCCAAGGATTAACACTCCACTTCAGATTTTCTACTCTGTTTCAAAAAAAAAAAAACTTGGGTGAAGCCGTTGCAGTTCGATTATTGTTCCACCAAGATGAAAACTGACTTGTTGCTTCGTGGATCTCTCTGCTTTAAAATGAGGCGCCGTTTGGTTTGAGACCTGTCCTATGTGGGTGCAGGTTAGGCTGATCGATCCAATTCCAGCGTCCAAAATTGTGATGGATGTATGCCCAAGTAAATTTGTCAGGGCTTAAAGCAAACAACCTCTCAGTGTTTGAAATTGCTCCACTGGAGGTGAAGCAACACAAATTTACTAGTACTTTCTCTTACCGCAAATATAAACATACTTTTAGGAGTATTGTTGGTTATAAGCGACTTTAAACTTTGGGAGTTGCTATAATTTAGGTGTCATAAACTTTAGAAATTTCCAGACAACAATTCTACGCAAATTAAATAGTACAATTAAAAATACAACTCACAAACAATTTTCATAATAATAAAAATTTAGGCATATAAGAGATAGGAAAAGTGTTAAACTGTCATAAATACATTTTTTTGACGGAGTAAACCCTGTTTTTATAAAAAATTGTCATAAATGCTACTCCATTTCAAAATTGTAAGTCGTTCTGGCTTTTTCTAGATATATAGTTTTTGTACGTATCTAGATATACAATATGTCCACATATTATATAGTAAAAATTATGCTATTTTTGGATTTGTTCTGAAAAAAAGCTTTCATGGGCTCGATCTGCCCGTAGAGCTTCACCTGGAACTATGGCCATCAAATACACACACTTGGGCTTGATCATGGCCTTTTACAATTTCTCAACCAAAACAGCCCAAAAGAGCTCGAGCCATCGAGATCCAGGTTGGCCGCGCCGTCACACGGCTGCGCGCGCTGTTCCTCCGCTGCGGCTGCAAGCGGGCCGTGCCATGCCGGCGTCGCCATGGCCGACCCCTCGCTCCGTGCGACAAGCGTCCCAGCTCCACGCCGTCGTCACCACGTCCGGCCGCATTGCCCACCGTCCCTCCGCCGAGCACCTCCTCAACTCGCTCACCAACTGCCTCTCGGCCCCGCGCCACCTGCGCTACGTGCTAAGCCTGTTCGACCGATTGCCGCACCCCACCACTTTCCTCCACGACACCGCCCTCCGCGCCTGCCTCCAGGCTTCCGCCGGCGCAGACTATCCCGTCCTCCTCCTCCGCCGCATGCGCCGCGGGGGCGTCCGCACGAGCGCCTTCACGTTCCACTTCGTCTTCCGGTGCTGCGCCGCCGGCGCCGGCGCCGGGCTCTGCCGGATGCTGCACGCCGCGTGCCTCCGGACCATGCTCCCCTCCGCCGCGCGGATCGTGGCGAACCCCCTCATCCACATGTACGCCTCGCTTGGGCTCACGGACGACGCCCGCCGGGCGTTCGATGAGATGCCTGTCAAGGACGCGGTCGTGTGGGCCACGGTGATCGGCGGGCTGGTCAGGTGGGGGCTGCTCGATGAAGCGCGGAGGCTCCTCATGCAGGCACCGGAGAGGAACGTGGTCTCATGGACTAGTTTGATTGCTGGGTACTCGCGTGCTGGCCGGCCTGCTGATGCCGTGTATTGCTTCAACTGCATGCTTTCAGATGGTGTCGAGCCGGATGAAGTCGCGGTGATTGGCGCTCTCTCGGCATGTTCGAAGCTCAAGAATTTGGAGCTTGGGCGCTTGCTGCACTTGCTGGTTGGGAAGAAGAGGATCCGGATGACTGACAATCTTGTTGTTGCACTCATTGACATGTATGCCAAATGTGGTGACATTGCCCAAGCACAGGCGGTCTTTGACGCTGTGGGAAGGGGCCAAAAGCCTGAGCCATGGAATGCTATCATTGACGGGTACTGCAAGCTTGGCCATGTTGATATTGCAAGGTCTCTGTTTGATCAAATGGGCGCCCGTGATGTCATCACATTCAACTCTATGATCACTGGATACATCCACAGTGGCCGGCTTAGAGACGCATTACAGTTGTTCATGCAGATGAGGAGACACGGCATGCGTGCTGATAATTTTACCGTGGTGACCCTTCTCACTGCTTGTGCGAGCTTAGGTGCACTGCCACTGGGCAGGGCTTTGCATGCTTCCATCGAACAGAGGATAGTAGAGGAAGATGTCTACCTTGGAACTGCACTTGTGGACATGTACATGAAATGTGGGAGGGTGGATGAGGCAACCGCTGTGTTCCATCGCATGGGTGAAAGAGACATTCACACTTGGAGTGCCATGATCGCAGGTCTTGCATTCAATGGGATGGGTAAGGATGCTCTGGAGTCTTTCTGCCAGATGAAGCGTGATGGTTTTCTGCCCACCTCAGTTACCTACATTGCTGTTCTGACTGCATGCAGCCACTCGAGTCTGCTTAATGAAGGTCGTCTGCACTTCAACGAGATGAGATCGTTGCACAAATTACACCCTCAAGTTGAGCATTATGGCTGCATGATAGATTTGCTTGCTCGCAGTGGGCTCTTGGATGAAGCTATGCATCTTGTTCAGACCATGCCAATGCAACCAAATGCCGTCATATGGGGCTCCATCTTGAGTGCTTGCAGAGTCCACAAAAACATTGACCTAGCCCGACATGCTGCGGAGTATCTTCTGAAGTTAGCGCCTGAGGAGGATGCTGTCTATGTCCAGTTGTATAACATATACATAGACTCTAGACAATGGGTAGATGCAAAAAGAATAAGGATGTTGATGGAAGAACAGGGAGTTAAGAAAACGGCAGGTTACAGCTCGATTACTGTGGCTGGGCAGGTACACAAGTTTGTTGTCAATGACCAATCACATCCTCGGACATTAGAGATCATCACGATGATGGAGGAAATTGCACGCAGGCTGAAGTCTGCGGGTTATTCTCCAGCTACGTCAATGATAGCAGTGGACGTTGACGAGGAAGAGAAAGAACAGGCACTTTTAGCACACAGTGAGAAGATAGCCATTGCTTTTGGTCTCATTAGCCTTCCACCGAACTTACCGATTCATATCATGAAGAACCTGAGAGTCTGTGAGGACTGCCACTCTGCAATCAAGTTAATCTCTCAGCTTTGGAACCGGGAAATCATTGTTAGAGATCGGAGTAGGTTCCACCATTTCCGAGATAGAGCATGTTCTTGCAATGATTTTTGGTGATTACCATTCTGCAAGCTGCTAGTCTTGTTCCAGAGGTCAGAAAGCAATCACGAGAATACACTAAAAGCACAAGTGCTTCATCCCACAACTCCGTTTCCAGTTTCAAATTTATAAATGCCTAAGGTACTGTTTCTTCACACCATCTATCTATTTCAAGTTGTTTTTGCTCTTTTAGATACTTAGTTTTTGCTATGCATCTAGATGTATGCTATGTCTAGATACATAGTAAAAACTAAGACTTATAATTTGGAATGGAGAGAGCAATAAATGAAAGAAGCTTGTGAATCTTCTGATAACACAAAGCTTTCTTGTGTGCTTTACCAGGGATAGGAAGTCGGATGTGTCTGCACGCAAACACACTCCATTCGTGGCCGTCGGTGGGTTTCACAGTGATGGAACTGGATGTCTGAATCCATGTGATTCTTCAGTATGACACCATGCCATTGTTGTTTCGAGCACAGCAATTTTGAGATTTTTTTTTTTGAGTAGAAGCAATTTTGGGATTTGACTTAGCCCTGTTTTGGGACAGTGATAAAAAGGCCACAGCCCACAACTCGAAGGCTGACACGGGTAAATACAGACAATGGGCTGTCTAAACTGGTTAACGGGCCGGCCCAGTCAATATGGACATCTGGTGGGGCTGCTTGTTAGAGCCGTTCAGGCCTTCAGCGGCAAAACGGCGGAACCTGCTCGCCCGCCCGGCTCCGGCGACCGCCCTCCGCCCTGACCTCCCCTGCGGCAAGCGAATCCAAGTAGGAGTAGGCGGCTATGGCGACGACGGCCGCAGGGTACAGCTGCTGCGCGGCGGGGCTGCCGCCCTCCGCGTTGTTTCCGGGGATCCTTTCGTCCCGCCGGGAGCCTCCTCCTCCTCACGTGTCCCTTGTGGCCTCCTCCTCGAAGTTCAGGGCACCGGCACCGCGGTGCGCTCCGTTCCATCTACTTCTCGGCTCGGCTCGCGGGACGCGGGTTTCTAAGCTCGTCTCTCGTCCTGCAGGTTGAGAGTTTCGTACCATCCAAGGAGGCTCGCTTCCTCCTCCCGTGAGGTCAATTCGGACGCGGTGCCGTCGCCAACGGTTAGTTAGCGCTCTCTCTCCTTAGTCTCTGTGATGTTTTCAGATCGTCAGGGGTGAATTGATTTGGGTTATGGATTGGAATTATTTAGTGGAGGCGATTAGGGAATGGACTGGATTAGGTAGCCACCAGCAATGGGGGAAACAGTAACTGCTTGGGTTTTTAGACCACTGATTATTGAAATTGGATAACTAATGAGATTCAGCCTGATATGTTGGTGTAGGTTGCTAGCTATTCTATATCAACTTGATGATTCATATAGCCAGAATAATTGTGGTTTTCTAGCATCATATCTTCTTTGTCCATTGGCTGATTGGCTTTAGTAAACTATATATGAACACGTTTTGTAAATTGAAAATTTGCTAGGTTGATAGCATACATATGTGAAAAATATGATAAAGAAATAATGATAAGGTCTTGCATTTTGTGTATAATTCAGCGGTTTATTGCATGAAAGACAATGTAACAAATTGCTTGCTGATCGAGGAACAAGCTAGATTCAGAAATGAGTAATAAGTGCTCAATTCACTGGCAGATTGAATAGTAAAGCGGCAAACAACAGACTAGTTTGTAGGCAAGAATGTCCTAAATGTAACTTCTGTTTGTGTGATGTTTCAGGAAGCCGCTGTTGATATAAAGCTTCCTAGAAGAAGCTTGCTTGTTCAATTTACATGCAATGCATGTGGTGAAAGGACCAAGCGCTTGATAAACAGAGTAGCCTATGAAAGTGGGACAGTTTTTCTTCAGGTAAACCTTGTTCTGTGCCTTTATTTATGTGCAAAAATGCAAACTCCAAACCTACTGCTTTGCTCATTTTGGATCGCTGTATGAGACAAGCCTGCATTCGTATGATTGATGTTTTCTTACGCATGCTGTAAATATGTTCTAACATACACTATGCAAACAGTGTGCAGGGTGCCAGGTGTACCACAAGTTTGTTGATAATCTTGGTCTAGTTGTTGAATATGATCTACGAGAAGAAAATGAGCTACAAGGAGAAAATGTGGTGAACCCCAATTCTGAAGATTGATCTGCTGTGAGAAGCAGTGTCGGTATGCAAAATGCCCTGCAGTCTGTAGGTTTTGACATCACTGATTGTTTATATAAAAAAAATTATATTTTAAAGTTGCTGCATATACTCATCTGAATACAACGGGCCCTATATGTACTTTACAATGTGTGGTTCTATGAAGGAAAGAAAGGATCATAATACCAGAGTACTCAGCAGTTTAAAAATGATGTCTTATTAATATCAAAACAGTACATTTTTGGAAGATTATTCTGGCACTAGTGATATGGTACTAATATCTGACATGCACACTACTTTGGCCTCATTGTTGGCCTGCGTCATTGAGATTTTGATCGACTGGGGCATCTTTTTTTTTCCCTTGTTATCTCTTTCTCGTCCTCTTTTATCACAGGCTCCACATTTTCACCCTTTTCCCTTGAGGAACTGAATAAGGCCGTCAAGTACTCAAGTGCGATATCGGTATCGTCATTCCTCATAAGGTGGATCGTCCAGTAGAAGATTAATCTCTTCCTGCATTCTCAGATAGCGGGCTGCGGCCTGACTCCTGAGGCATCTCATCTCGTGGTTTACGGGAAACACCACCCTGGATAAAACATAATGTAGATCATTATCTTTCAGTGTGGGCATATTAACTTTCAGGCTGCTCGCTGAATCACATCACACGAGATTAAAAATCACAGTTCCCAGTTTACCTTTCAGGAGAACACTCACAGGTCACACCATATTTCATAATCATAATATATGAGTCATACATGGCAAGCATGGAACTGAATCGACACAGTTTACAGCCTTGCAAAGTATGACAGTGTTGGTTTCTCACATATTTCCTCTATACCAAATTGTAAGTTGTTCTGGCCTTTTTAGTTACATAGCTTTTGCTACGTATCTAGATGTACATATATATGTTGAAAAGATAAAAGGTAGAATGACTTACAATTTAAAACAGGGGAGTATATTTCATTTTGAAAAAAAAAGAGCTAGCTGCAATGATCAAACCAGATCATTAAAAATATGCTATGCGAAGTACTCTCTTCGTCCAGAAAAGAATGCAACTATGTATTGCGTGCCAGCAAAAGTAGTTCACGTTTGATCAAATTTCTAGCAAATACTATTAACATTTACGACTCCAAAATAATTTATTATAAAATACATTTCAAAAATACATTTCGTAATTAATCTAATGATATTTATTTGATATCATAAATATTGATACTTTTTATCTATAATTGATCGAACTTAAGATACAAAACCATGACACTGTGCTAGAATTGCATTCTTCGTTGGACCGAGGGAGTACTATTCGTAGGATGTCATTCTCCAAACCCTGACATAACTTGTTTGTACTAAGAAGTTTAATGAATGAAGTCAAAGCACCTATATAGTTTAATGACTCTGTTTGGAACGACTTATTGGGCTGCTTTGCTTGTAAGCTTCTGTGGGCTTATTTTTTCTGATGCTTCTTGCAAACGAATTAGGAATGGGCTTTTTCAGGAAGCCCGTGGGGGAGCTTTTCCGGCCTCTCCCTTCCCATGCCCGTCCGTCTCCCCGGCTCCGCCGCCTCCGCCACCGCGCGTCTCCCTCGCCTCCGTTCTCCCCCGCTCGTCTCCTTCGGCTCGGTCCGGCGGCCGGCGGCCCTCAGCTCACCGCCCGAGCACCTCCCCGCTGGAGCTCTGGAGGCCTCCGCCCGTGTACCTCCCCGACCGAGCGCCTCCCCAACGAGAGCATCCTTCGCCCGAGGTTGCAGGCTGCAGCCTCCAGGCCTCTACGGCGACGAAGGAGAAGGGTGAATGCTGCCAAAAGGTAGACTTTTGCAGGCTTCTACTTATTCAAAAATCTTACTTCTTACAGAAGCTCCTAAAGGTTTAAGCCATTCCATAAAACTATCTATGAAGCCACTTCGAACGCATTTCTTTGTTAAGGTCGATCGCTTTGCTATACAGCTAGACAGACACATCAGTCCCCTACTTTCAGGAAGCAGAAATAGACATATAGACTCACCCATCCATCAAATCAGTGATTCCTCAGATCCCTGATTCAAAGACAACCCAATTGCCCCATCAGTGACCCTGTGGCACATATATATTCAATCAGCCAGGCCGGCCTTTAGCTGGTGCCTGGTGGGGAGTTGCGCCGAACAACTGGCTGCAAACAGTGGTTGTGCTTCAGGCAAAGAAATAAGCATAGAGAATGGAGCACTAGACCTTTGCCTATGGCATTGGCAGTGAACGATTAGCTCTAGCTATTTCCTATACCGTGCTCCACGTAGCGATCGTGAACTCTAGCCCCAGCTTCTGGGTCTTCAATTCGAATGAAGATCTTGGCAGCTGCGGCAACAGCCAAAGCCAACAGGTGCGGGGACTGAGATGTCTTCTTGGATTTCATTTGATCAAAGCCTCTAAAGTGTAATCTGTTTGGTGTATATGGAAAATCTATCAACTTTGAATCTTGTGTGAGAAAAAAACGTGACATTTTTCATCAAGCTGTACCATTGTGCATTGTATCATGGTTTGACAGTGATGTTCTGATGGATGAGAATTGGGAAATACCAACTCACTACATCTAAATTACATTCTCCTTAGGTGGATTGGGGAATTGTTGTGCTTAGTACTGATCAATTTTGATGTTTAAGCTTAATGACTTGAATATGATAACAACTTATGGTGACAATAAATGAATTTCAATTCAACAACTTGTTAAAAACTGTGAGGAAGCCCTTCACAGATAACCCATAGTTTTGGTTTCAGACTGAATGTTCATTGAATGGTGAGTCTTTTTTTTGTCTGAAGTATGGCCTTCTGGCATCAGTGTAGAAATTTAAAGCTGCCCTTGTATGCTAACTTGCATGTATATCAAGGTGCTTAGTGATGATGGCGGTTACAATCTGCCCTTCAAATCTTCAGTAGAGAATGTGAGCCGAACCAAATTCTACTCTTTACCTAGATGAAATTATACTCTTTACGTAGATGACATTAACAAGTGGTGCTTAGATAAAGATAGCGATATTCTAGTTTTGATTTTATTTTATGACCCTAAGCAAACTTATTCTGAAGTTCCTGTACACTAGCTCATCTGATTTTGATTAGGTGACAATGGCGTCAAAGTGTTTTGGACCAGGTTGAGATGACACTCTGCTTCACAAAAACAGTCTCCATGGTTTCTCTGCAGTGGGGAGCTCACTGCAGACTGCTGGAAATCGGAGAGATGCTTGCTGCTTGGATGCTTCCCTCTTCACCAACTTAAGAATCCCACAAATTTGCATGGTGACCTCACCCTGCAAGTTGCACATACCAGTGAGGAATAGCAGAGCCCCAAGCATCACCACTGTCTCTACTGGATCCATCAGTGTTCAGTGAGACTATTTGTGGTGATGGCAGTGTGGGATGTCGTTTCTTTGAATCGTATGATCACTGGGTTCATTCGAGACGGTATCAGCAATCGAGCTCTTGTAGTTTACAAGTGGATGGTTGCTTCAGGCTTCAGAGAGACCCCTCATACCTTCTCTGCAATCCTCGGTGCGTGCAACAGCTGCGAGGGACTGCAACTGCATGGCCGGATACTGGCCTTGGGCCTGTGCTCCAACCCATTTGTCAGGTCTGCGTTGGTCAATCTGTATATGCACGTTGAAATGCCTTGTGCTGCTCTCTTGCTGTACAATGAGATGCCATTGCAGAGCACAGTCATGTCCAATGTGGTTCTGGGTGGTTTGTGCAACCTGAAGTTGGCCGAGGACCTCCTTTGGTCCTTGCTAGACATGAGACGGCGTGGTTTGGAGTTGAATGGTCTTTCCTACTGTTACGCGATGAAAGTATGCTATCAAGATGAAGAATGGCTGGAACAAGGCAGGCAACTTCATGGAGTGGTTCTCAAGGCAGGGTGGGTTCCGTCAAATATTTTCCTGTCAAACTCGCTTGTGGATCTTTACTCAGCAACCGGAGACTTAGTGGATGCTAAGAATTCACTGGATGCTATCCCTTCCGAGGATGTCATCTCATGGAACTCAATTGTTTCTGTTTGTGCAAGCAAAGGACGTATAAAGGAAGCAACTGATTACTTGAGACAGATGCTTTGGCATGGCAAGATGCCCTCAGTCCGCTCCTTTGTTGGGCTCTTTGCTTCGTCTGGTCAGACTGGAGACCTTCGAGTTGGGGTGCAGATGCATGGTATTGCACTTAAGCTTGGATTCAGTTGGAGTAGTGCGCATGTGCAAACTGCACTCATTGACATGTATGGAAAGTGCTGCTCTTTTGATTGTTCCTTGGCAGTCTTTAATGAAATCCCAAGCCTTGCACTGGAGTGCTGTAATTCAACAATTACATCATCAATTCGCAGCAAGGTTTTTCACTCCTCACTGGAGGTCTTGTACTGTATGACTGTAGAGGGAGTTATGCCTGATAACGTGACTCTCTCTGCAACCCTGAAGGCCATATCTTTGTCAGCTTCGCCAAGTTTAATCAGTTGCCAGATGCTGCATTCCTGGGTCTTCAAGCTGGGCTTTGAAACAGACATGGCTGTGTGCTCCTCCTTGATCAGCGCATATGCTCGAGCTGGTCAGGTGAACAGTTCCCACCTGATATTCGAAAGCTTGCGGGATCCAAACGTTGTTTGCTTCACTTCAATGATATCTACATGCGCTCGATACGGAGATGGCGCAAAAGGAGTGGAGCTGTTCAATGAGATGGTTTCCAGGGGCCTCAAGCCTGACGACGTCACCTTCCTGTGCGCAATCTCAGGGTGTGACCAGGCAGGATTGATCGAAGAAGGCAGGCTGGTGATTGAGCTCATGAGAGCGACCCGCGAGCTGGGTCCTGACGAGAGGCACTTCGCTTGCATGGTTAACCTTCTCGGCCGAGACGGTTTTGTGGAGGAGGCAATGAGGATGATGGAACACTTGCCGCTACGGCACTACACCAAGGCGTGGAGCTCGCTCATTCAGAGCTGCAAGTCACATGGTGAAAATGCGCTGGGAAAGAGAGCTGCACATATGCTGATAGATGTGGGCCGAAAGGACGCAGCCACCAACTTGCAGGTATCGAAATACTTTTATGAGATTGGGGACGGCGAAAATGCCTCGAGGATTAAAGCCATGGCAAGTGGGCAACAAGCGAAGGAGAGCGGTCACAGCTCGGTTGAGATCAGTCATGGAATCTAGCATCCGAGGTTAAAGATTGGTATGAACAATTCAACTCCGTAGCTGGTTGGTTAGTTGTTTCACTTGTTTGAGCTCATGACCTGCACATCACAAGAAGATCATGTTGCCAACGTACAGGCACAAGCCCTCCTGTTGCATACATAAACCTCAACCCAGTGACTGCATCAGATACCATGATACATCCTTGCTCTTTGTTCCAGATCTGAATCTTGGGCAACAGAGCACTGTTGGCCAATGCTTTACAGTTACAGCCTTACAGGCACATGCCTGTTCAGACGTGAAACCTCACCAGCTGGTTTCATTCGTCTTTCTTATCGTCTTTTCAGACACCCTTCTCACAGGAAGGGGCCGTTGAATGTCTGCACTTTGCAGCAACAGGACGATGATGATGGTGGTGCCCGTGTATGTAGATGCAACTGCAAATGTGCAGTCTCCTGAAAGTGAAAAAGGCCAAAAAGGGTGGTGTTTTGAGTAGTCGCCATGATTTACGTACCGATAAATTTGACTCGATTTATAGAAAATACGTGTAACATTTCTATCTTCAAATAAATTTATTAAAAAACTAGATTCAAATATCTATCCAATGATACTAATTATGTATCATAAATAATAATATTTTTTTATATATATTCAGTCAAAGTTGTTTATCAGGAAGCAAAAATGAAAATTTAGAGACGGAGGGAGTACAGTACAAAGACCGCACAGAGTGGAGTGAAGAAAGAAAAAGCGGAAATTGGTTCTGTAGCATCGAGAGATCGCAACTTCCGAAAAATACCATTGAAAGACACCGGTCACGTAAAATACCACTGAAAGGTGCACACGTGAACTGAAAGTATCATTATGTTGGATTTGAGCGTTAGGTCTGTTAACTTAGACCAAAATACCCCCAAGCCGGTACAAGTGCTCTAAAAACATAAGAATCAAGCCCCAAACTGGTACAGGAGCTCTAAAAACATAAGAATGAAGTACAGGGCATGAACTGACAGCATTTTAACACATACAAGTCACCATATGCACTAAATATTGACCAAGCACATGAAAAATATTCTGGTTCAACACATGGACTAATATTGACCAACACATCTTGTAAGCACATGGCCAAATAGGTTCACAGTACAGGAACCATATTGGTCTGGTCCAACACATGCAGAACAACACATGCCCAAAATAGGTTCAGTACATGACTTTTTCATACAGTAACAGTTCAACAAAATGATTCACGATCACACTAGCCTAGTTTATGATGACCCTCCTAGCAATGCCTCTTGGTGATGTATCCAGTTGTGCTGCCTCAGGATCTGTAGCTTCAGTTACATTCTTGCTGCTCTCTATTTTCTTCTTTTCTTGCTGCACTTTCTCACTGCTTCCTATTCAGGTACCTTCCTGAAATACCTCCACTCTTCGTCAACTCCAACTGGATCATCTCCCTCATGGTCAACACCCGGCTCCATATATTGGTCACCTTCCTCCTCCTCTTCTACTCTAGAAGGACCAACAGCTGTAACACCAAATTGAGGTTCCATGGCCCATTCTAGACCATTCAATTATGCACTCACATGCATCTCCTTGAATTTTTCTGTGACCTGAAGTTGTAAGTCATTCTCTTCATCTGTCACTTGTCTTTCATTCTCAATCAAAGCCATATCAACATGCTTACATCTATCTACGGTCATGATAAACTCCACCATTTTTTAGGCTCGCAGCAAAGTTAGAAGCTCTTGGTTCGTACCAAGGCGATTTGTTAGATTAATCCGACCCACATCTATCTACTGGAGGAGGAGTCACGGTCGGCGCAACACGCAGTCGAGGAGGAGGTGGTGGACGGCGCAGGCGGCGCGGCCTCCACGTGACAAGCGGTCTCATGGCGGACGGCCAGAAAGCGACGCAGCCTGACCTCCATGAGTAGTAGCACCACACGGGCGGACGGGCGTGCGTGGCCTCCACACGGGAGGCGGCTCACAAGCAAAGAGGAAGCCGCATGGCGCCGACGAGGGAGGCCCTCGAGCTCTGTGGCGGCCGGACGCAGCGGAGGAGGGCGGGCTCTCGACGACGACGAAGCGGCTGCCATGGCGGCAGGCAGTGGCGGCATGACCTCACATGAAATACCGATTTCGCAGGGTGGCGGGCGCTGCCTCCACGAGGGAGCGACTGCTGCTTGGCGAGAAGCCATGGCGGCGGCCGTGCAGGAGGCCCTCTGAGCTCCCAGTGGCAAGTGACGGCAAGCGGAGGCGGCGCCTCAGTGTATCCGAAGCGTGGCGCAATTGTCTCCCAGCGGAACAGGCGGCATGGTGGCTCTCACTTTCCCGTTTGAGGATAGGGATGAGGATAAGGCAAGGGCAAAAATGTCACTTAAGTTTTGGAGTTTAGGTCAAATTAACGCTCCTGAGTGTAAAACCTGACGTAGTGCTATTTTTTTAGTTTACAGTGACAACTTTCAATGCTAACGAGGTTAAACTCTTTCGGTGGTATTTTACGGAGGTCGTAACCTTTGGACGCTGTAGAACCAATTTTCCCAAAGAAAAATGGAAACAGGGCCTTGTTTAGATTGGGGTTAGGAATCAGTATTCGGCACTGTAGCACTTTTTCGTTTGTATTTGACAATTATTGTCCAGTCATGGCCTAACTAGGATCAAAAGATTCGTCTCGTAATTTATAATTAAACTGTGTAATTAGTTATTTTTTATCTATATTTAATACTCTATGTATATCTCTAAAGATTTGATGTGATGGAGAAAGTGAAAAAACTTTCAGTCCAAACCAGGCTCAGGACGGATCGTGCACGCAGATTTGTTGGAGTGGGATACGGCAGCACTGCCGATTTCAGATCTGGCAGGACGCAAAGGACAGTCTGGTCTGGCGCCGTCTTTGTATATTTTACGCTCCTCCCACCCACCACCAGTTGCATCCATCCAATCATGCAGTGACACTAACTCTTTTAAAAATGAAAACACTAACGCACTCTGTCACTGTTAGGCCTTGTTTGGACGATGGTTGGGAATTAGTATTTGATACTGTAGCACATTCGTTTATATTTAATAATTATTGTCCAATTATAGCTTAACTAGGCTCAAAAGATTTGTCTCGTAATTTATAATCAAACTATATAATTAGTTAATTTTTTTATCTACATTTAATACTCCATGCATGTGTCTACAGATTTGATGTGACGGAAAAAGAGTGAAAAAACTTGGAATCTAAACAAGGCCTTGGTTAGGAAACCCAAAGTTCGGTCTTTGGTATGAGACTCTCAGCTGAGCTGATAAAGTGACAAAACACCAGTAAATAATTCTGTGCAAAAAGATTCAGTACCAGTGTACCACTTGTGTGAATGGAAAGACATTGCATCCCTGATCCATCCAATCATGTAGCCACACTAACACACTCTGCCCCTGTTTGTTAACTTAAACCCAAAGTTTGGTCTCTGGTAGTCTGGTCTGAGGCTCTGAGCTGAGCTGAGCTGGTAACAATAAAGTGACAAACAAGCAGTGAAATGAAATAATAACTCTGCGCAAAAAGATTCAGTAATCAGTACTAGTGGCCTGGCCTGAATGAAAAGATAAACAAGCCAGGAAAGAAAAAAGGAAATTCAGAGCAGAAAAGAAGAGAAAAGATTCAGTGGTGGTGCTGGCTGGGTGCAGTATCAAATATTCCCCGAGCCCATATGATGGTTGGGGAGAGAGTGGGTCTGGTGCCCCGGATTCCAGAACAGGAACAGGGGGGGCTCTCGCCTCTCGCTCTCCTCCACCATCGCACCACGCACCCCCTCTTTCCTTTCCTTTTCCTTCCCCGACCCACCTCGCTCACGCTGTCACGCAGCCTTCCTCCCCTCCCTTCCTAGTGGAAGTGGATTGGTTGATTGATCGCACAGAACTCACCCGCACAGACCGAGCTGCTGCCCGCCCACCCGCCGCTCTTCTCCTCCCCTCCTCTCCTCGCGGAGCAGGCAGGCAGGCTGGGATTCCCCGTCCGCGGCGCCGGCGTCTGCTGCTGCTGCTGCAGGAGTTAGGAGGGAGGAGCTTTGCCTGCGAAGGAGGAGAGGTGGCACCCCGCCGCTAGGGCAAGAGGGGGAGGAAGAGGAAGGCTGGCGTCCGGCATGGCGAGCGAGGAAGTAATCCATAAGGTCGGTCCCGAATTCTCGTCTCTCTCTCGCGAGGGCATACGCCTCGTCCCTAGTTCATCGCCTCTGTTGCATTCATTCCTAGTCTGTGTGGTTCGTCACTTACCTAGCTACCAGCTCGTTTCCCTTCACGCGGATTTAATTGTTGCTGTTTCTTGCGATTTTGCTTTGCTCCCGGGCTTTGCTGATTGTTGGTACCGACTCGTGTCGTGTGCGCTCCTCAAGGAGCAGCCATGTCGAAATTGGTAATCTAGGGTTTCGGAGGAACTCCAAGGGTCTAGACATCTTCATCATGTGTTGAGTTTGTTGCGCACTTGCGGTGCTCACAGGCAACCGGTTTCGGTGAATCCTGTATTCTGTGAACTTTTTTTTGCTTAGTATGGAGTATCTGTCTTCCGGAAGCCCGAATAGCGCTTAAAAGGGTTTGTGTATACGTATTTATTTTGATGGATTGATCAGATGATGATTCCTGTTACACAGGTCCAGAATCTTATAGAGCGCTGCCTTCAGATGTACATGGACCAGAAAGAAGTGGTTGATGCCCTCTCTCACCACTCAAAGATAGAGCCTTGCATTACTGAACTTGGTAACGCTCACTGTTCTCCTCTCGTACAGTGAGATGACTAATTTCTCTTGCTTGCAAGAAGTTGGTCCAAAGCTACTTCATGCATATCTGGCTCTACCGTTAGTCTAATGTTACAACTGTGATTCTGTACTATGATGCAATAAAAAATAAAATAAAAAAAAGGGCGTACCCAGTGCAGAGAGCTCCCGCTAATGTTACAACTGTGATTCTGTACTATGATGCAATACAGATATAATAATGCTTTACAACAATAGCTGAGCCTTTTAGTCTCTGTACAATGTTTTAAGTAAATAATTCTCTTCACCCTTGTATTAATTGTTGTCATATGCTCCCCCAAATGTACTGATTCAGTGGCAAACATGTATTCTAGAAATCTCGATTGGTGCCTTCTAATATTCTTATATACTAGGATAATGAAAAAGATCCATCCTTGTACAAACTTATGTCAGGCTCAGTGTTAGCAACTATCATGTGTAAACAATTGTTTAGACCCATTATCCTACCTTAATGACAAACTGGATAGGTGGGCACCAAGTTCCATTTCTACCACCCCCCCCTTTCTGAAAATTTATTTTGCAGTTTATTGTATTGAAATTGAATCTGTGCTTCTGCTAAACTTCACCTCCATGAAGATACCAACAAATAGTATGGTAGTGAAAATTAGTTTATGAAGTTCCATTTGCTTCGCTGATGCTCTCAGAATTTCCAATAATGCTCACCTCCAGCCTTGCATTTTGTGGTTAATTTTTTTTCTTAAAGAAATCTCTTATGGCTGCTAGCTAATTGGTGCCTTTTTCTCTTATCAGTTTGGCGACAACTTGAGCAACAAAATCCTTTGTTTTTCAAGGCATACAATATGAGGCTAAGGCTTAAGAATCAAATCATGGTCATCAACAAGCTTCTTCAGGATCAGTTCGCGGTTATGAATAACGATTTTTCTTCAGGGATCCCTTCTATGTGTCTTCCTAATGGCTCTAACTCCAACCTATGTAAGACCTTTGTTTCCAACCTTCTTATCAGGGATTGTTCATCATTATTTAACTGAGTTTTCTGATTTGCCGAGTGAAGTCCTGTAACAATATGATGGAATCTCAGGCATACATGTTACTTTGCAAAGTGATTTAACCATTGTATGAGCTCGACAAGTCTGTCATTCATTCGTTTGAAGTTTTGTTTTTGTTCATGAGATCTTATTGCCACTTTCAAGTTTCCACTCTTCTTTCACTTGCTGGTAAGTTGACCTTTTGCTAGCTCCCTTGTCTGCCATTTTAACGTGGCCACTTTCTTTACTTGTTTCAGTGAAGCAAAATCCATGCTTTTTGCCAGAGACTGCTCCTGGATCTGCAATGCCAGATGGTATAATGCACAATGGAAGTTCAAGTGGTATAATAAATGGCACACCATCTGGCAATCAATTGCTTAATGCTAGTAAAGACTTGCACGGTCTTCATAATGGAATAGATGCTTCAGCTAGTCTACAGTCAGACCAGAATGCAACTGCTGTGCTGTATGGTGTAGACAATGAGACAAGTGCAACAATAAAGACTGAGTCTTGCTATTCGAGTAATGCTGATTTTGCTTTCTGTGGGAATACTTTCCTGGAATCATGCCAGTCAATAGGTGATGCATCTGGTGGTGGATCTTTTAGTAGCTCAGAGTTGAATGGGCAACCACTGAATGATTCGATCTTGGATATGGAATCATCATCATTTAGCTTCTTGAACCAAATGCCCCAAAACTTCATCTTTTCAGACTTGACAGACGATTTCAACCAAAGTGCAGGTACCTTCCAGTGAGATTTGTTAAATTCTTTCTTCCGAATTTTGAGTGCCTACTTGTTTTTGTCTTCCCCCTCTGCTGTATAAGTTATTTGTCTTGTTTTGGTTTTTACCCCCAGAAATAACACCATTTCTCACTCCTGAAACAAATTTCTCTGATTCGACAGGGGGAGACCATACAGGTGATTCATCCTCCTTCCTTTTTCTCATAACCACCCCATGAATACAGCATATACTGCATTCTCCGATCTTCACGTGTTGACCCTAGAGTAAAAGCATTTGTTCAACAAGCAAATGTAGTTAGGGTATTTGTATTAGTACTTTCTTGGGTGGTACTTTTAGGGGTCACTGTTTACGCCAAGAATTTAGTCGATGTGGTCTCTTAGAGAATCTTCTCTTAATTTGAGTTGCATTGTCTCTTAGTGGCGTCTTCTCTTGTCGACAAACATGCATTCTGGTATTTACTGGCTTTCTTCCTATGCAGGCTGAGCGGTCATGCCCAGGGGCCATTTGTACATACGCTCATGGGCAGTTAAATCTGCATTGATGAAGAACTTGAGGACCTTTTGATCTAGCTGTTTATTTTCTAGATTCCGCGTCTTATATTGTGATAGTTTGAGACTTTGGGTTTGGTGGGTTGTCTAGCCCATCAGAACGCATAATGGGTTGGGTCTTCCAGCATGCTCTCTGATGGTGCCGTTGTCGTGCCTTGTACATTGCCGTGCTTCTGTAAGAAACATTAGGAGCGGCGTTGTTTGCATCAGCATTAATTTGGCCAATTTCCCCGCTTGGTTTGTAAAACTAATTTTATCAATATTAACTTAATTCTGAATTCAAAATTTAGACCATGAGTTGTACTATTGTATATGCCGCTTCCCACTATCTGAATTGGCAGAAGGGTTGATGAGGTGGGAATCGAGTCTGTCGGCCACTGGATAGCCGATTGAATGCCACGGCCGTCCAAAAAAACCAACAAGGGGCTGGCTCGTACGGCGGCCGCGCGGGGCTGATCAGGATCTCTCGGCTCTCTGCTGGCCGAAATGTCATAAAATATCTAGCCCCGTCTTCCCTATGGTCAGCTGAGGTAATCGTATAAATAGCTAGCGTTGTTATTCGGGATCGGTTTCGAGACGTACTCAGTATGAGATCCCGATTCATGGAAACTACCGATTTTGTACCACTACAGTAATTTGACGGCGCAGATTTAGGCAACTAAACGAGGCCCTAGATAGATTAGATTGATTTGCATGCAATCGTATAAATAGCTAGCGTTGTTATTCGGGATCGGTTTCGAGACGTACTCAGTATGAGATCCCGATTCATGGAAACTACCGATTTTGTATTTCTTTCTTTTCAAGGTTTGATAGATCTGATTCTGATCTGATCCGTTGTAAAAAACAACTTAAATAATATTTTTTATTAAATAATTGTAAATCTAAGAAGTTTGAAAAGAAAGAAATACAAAATCGGTAGTTTCCATGAATCGGGATCTCATACTGAGTACGTCTCGAAACCGATCCCGAATAACAACGCTAGCTATTTATACGATTGCATGCAAATTAATCTAATCTATCTAGGGCCTCGTTTAGTTATCTAGGGCCTCGTTTAGTTGCCTAAATCTGCGCCGTCAAGTTACTGTAGCGGTACAAAATCGGTAGTTTCCATGAATCGGGATCTCATACTGAGTACGTCTTGAAACCGATCCCGAATAACAACGCTAGCTATTTATACGATTGCATGCAAATCAATCTAATCTATCTAGGGCCTCGTTTAGTTATCTTGCGCCGTCAATTTTACTGCAGCGTTTCGTTTGTATTTGGTAATAATTGTCCAATCGTTGACTAATTATACTCAAAACGTTCGTCTCGCAAAGTACAACCAAACTGTGCAATTAGTTTTTGATTTCGTCAATATTTAGTACTCCATGTACCGTAAATTTGATGTGACAGTGAATCTTCATTTTACGTAGTGTCAAAGTTTGGATTTGGTGTGAACCGAACACCCCTTAGGTAGAGCCAGTTGAGTCGTCGCCCGCCGTCTCCATCGAACGATCGATCCTTGGCAACAGCAACAGCAGCAGCGGCAGCCATGGAAGTGCTGGTAGACCGCTACGTGCGAGTCACCCACGAACTAAAAGAGATGATCCAAGAGATGGGAGCCCAGCCTCTGGATCTGAGGGTAGCCTCCGTGCTCAAGGCCCTCCCGCCGTGCAGCAGCACAAGGCAGAGGGACGCCCAAGAACAGAGCGTCCTCGACGCAGAGATGAGGCGGTACCGGGCGGAGGTCGAGGAGCCGGCGTTCGCGATCCTGCGCGAGCGCAAAGCCTCCGGCTCCAGCGGCAGCAGGATGCACAAGGAGCCGGTGACGTTCAGCCCCTCCGGCAACTACCCCGAGGTACTGGACGGCATCGACCTACGTCTCCCTGCTGAGCTCCCCGCACCCCCAGGCGTGACCCCTTTGACGCTTGCCATCTCCTGGCCGCCCGGCCATCACCTGCGGAGTTATCCGATGACCGGCTTCATCTCGAGCTGTCACGACGGCTATCTCGCGCTCCACTTCGGCAACTACCTCTCCGGTTTATCTTCCACAGGGTGTTACCTGGTGATCGACACCTGCGCAAACTCGATTGCCATCATCCCGCCGCTGCCTCCCAGCTGCTTTACCACCACACCAAGTCCCACGGCAGCATTGGATCCGGGGTCGGCATCGGCATCCTACGACACCAGAGCAGACATGGGCTATACGTCCTCGTCGAGCTCTACCTCCGCCGCCGTAAAGACGACGACCTCGGCGGCTTCTCAAACAAGGCAGCTCTGTTCATGTGGTGGTCTACTGGCTCCGGCCCACTTGCAGACCAGTGGATCCAGAAGGAGGTGGTGCTCCCCCTCCCCCTCCCCCTCCCCCTCCCCGCTCACCAAGACACGGCCGCCGCCGCCGCCTACTCCTTCCGTGCAAACATGGTGTTGGCAGTTGGAACCACCGCTCTTTGCTGGGTTGACCTATGAACAGGGATCTTGGTCTGCAATGGCATCCACAGGCTCGCCGACGGAAGTGCAGATGATGACTGCTTGGTGTTCCACTTCATCCCGTTGCCCGAGGAATGTACCATCACACCTGACCGGCGGAGCAAGGCCGAGCACTCACGCTCCATGTCCCCTGTGGATCCTCAGCATATGGTTTTCGTCTGCATGGACGACAAGGCAATGCTCACGACATGGAGACTCAGGTTTCCCCTGACGACCCAAGACTGGTTCTGGGAGAAGGGGCAACCCTTGTGCATCCCAGACTTGTTGGACAAACTTCCAATCGCCAAGGGTGACCCCAAGCTGCAGCGACTCACGCCCAGGTGTCCTGTCATCAGCTGGAAGCAACCAGATGTCATCTACATCTTCGTTACCGAGTTTGAGTATAAGGATGAGCATAAGAAGTGGGAAATCCAAGGATATTATGAGTTCTCCGCCAACATTCAAAACGGACTACTCTCTGTGTTCGAATTCCCTCCTTCAGGAAGCCAACCTTTTCCTCACGCACGCATCTGCGCTACCCACATGAGAGCTACTTCCTAGAGAAGAAGATGGCCGGTATGACCTCCATCTGTTATTGTAAATAAATTGTATAATTTTGATATGACAATGCCTTCAAAATTAGATTTAATCTGTAGTACGTTTCTGTTATAGTTTTTTTGTCAATCGGTAGAAAATTGACATAATATTAGAAGCACGTTGAAATTGAGAAAATTGCAATTATAGGACGCGAAACAATGTGCTTCGCTATTATATGACTCCAAACGTCGACTTCACTAAAATGACCTATGAAACGTTGGTACTTTGTTATATATGACATTTGATCTTTTTAATCACTTTTCTCAACTAAAATACATGTATTTTGCCATGATGTGACCGTATTACCCTCGAGGCTTCAATTGACGTACCTTTTGCCTGTTGGGGGACAGAGCGCCGAGAAACCTGCTCCACCGTGAGCCGTGACCATTTTCTCACCAAAAGGCTGCCAAGAATACAACGGATGGATCGGATCACCGCTCACCAGGAGAAAAGGTACGAGTGTTCCTGTGCTTAGCAGCCAGCGCTTTGTGGTTTTGTGGAGCGCACCGAGCCTGGATCAAAGTGGCCTGACACGCACATGCTTTTGGTTTTGGAGTACGTACCATCCTTTTGTTCTCAAAGTGTGTGTGTGTCGGGGGGGGGGGGTTTGAAGGTACATCAATTAAAACCCTGAGGGCAATACAGTCACATCATGATAAAATACATGTATTTTAGTTGAGAGAAGCGATTAAAAAGATCAAATATCATGTATAACAAGGTGCCAACGTTTTCAGGGTTGTTTTAACGAAGTCGATGTTTGGAGTTGTATAATAATGAAGCATATTGTTTCACGTTCTATAATTGCAATTTTCTCCGAAATTATATAAGTGCAGTGCATATAATTTGCTTGTGAAATTAGACTTCTTCAAACTGCAACACAACTTATAAAAGTGTACAGTTCCAACCTTTCTTTCTTACCGCTGTACTTTAGTAGTTACTAGTTTTTTGTCTGAACTAGTAGTTAGACAAATATTTTCCACAGTTCTATTGGCTGCTTGGACAATATTTTCCATCAGTTTTGTTACTGTTTTATTTCAGCTTTATTAGCAGCTGCAGTTGCAAAAAATTGTAAAATAAAAAGAAGCCAATCCTGAAAATTAAAGAGCATGAGAATTTTGCTAGAGTATCACAGACATAACTAACAAGTGTAGGACTTTTTGGATTTGTGATCATCCATCTCATCGTTAAATGAGAATTTTGCTAGAGTAGAACCAACATACTCCCTCGGTTCCAAATCATAAGACATTCTAACTTTTTAGAGACTCAAAGCATCTCAAGTTTGACCAAACTTATAGAGAGAATTATAAAGATTTATGACATCAAATAGGTACTATAAAAATATAATTAATAAAGAATCTAATGATGCTTAGTTGGTATCATAAATGTTTTTATTTTATCATATAATTTTGGTCAAATTTGAGATACTTTGACTCTCCAAGAATGTTAGAATGACTTATAATTTGGGATGGAGGAAGTAACTAACTAGTATAAGATTTTTAGCATTGGAGTGATCATCCATGTCATTGTTACAGCTGCACTTCGCCCCTTTTATTTTTTTCTACTTCGTATTGTTCTAACTTTTCTGTTTTGTGAATCCTGTTTCCTCTAGAGGAAGTTGCAGATGGGTGAAGAAGTGTTTGATGAGGGAGAATCAAATCAAATATCAGCTCTGGATTGAGGAGGCAGTGGGATACCAATTCCTTATCCACCGCCCATTGCAGTTTCGTCAGGTGGCAAGAAAATTCCTGTGGGATTGCAACGTGTGCTCCTCAGGTGGCAAGAAAATTCCTGTGGGATTGCAATGTGTGCTGGATTATCGCGACAAATAGGCTTCTTAGTTAACTAGCAGGTTGCCTGTGTGTTGCAACATGAGAAAAAATATTACTACCACCGTTTTCGTTTACTTGCCACCGAATTTTTACTGTTTTCTGTAGCAATTTTGACCGTACGTTTTTTCTACAAAAAAATTTTTAAACACATCAAGTTTTCACATATATGATTCTTTATTGAACATACTTCATTAGTGTTATATACATTGAAATATCTAAAAAAAATTAGAAGAAAAAACAGATAGTCAAATTTACTACAGTAAAAAGTTGCTGACAAGTAAACACAAACGGAGGGAAGTATATTTTTAGTTTTCAGGATATCATGAGTAGACGTTAATTATATATTTTTTAGGGAATCTCTTGTTTCATCCGATAAACATTTATTCAGATTTATGGACTATTTATTTTTTTATATTTTATTGTGATTGAGTAAATATGCTCGTGCGTTGCTATGGATGATTTCTTTAGCTTATATGAAATTCTGCGCAATGGCTACAGTATAGAAGGCAGATAAGACTGTCGCCAACGGCGTGACCCAAACGTAAAATGCGCCATGCACAGTGTTTTTGGTACCCAAAACCAACCTCCAACGGAAGATCGAAACCAGATACCCATTCTGGGTACTCGGCGAGTGGAAGGCAATTCTGGGTCTCGGAAGAGAGACGACGCAAACATGTAGTGGTGGGCTCGTAGGAGCCGTCGGGGCAAGGCGCGGCCGGCTCGACTCGGCGAGGCGGGTCCACAGCGGATCGCGGCCGGCGGGGCGAGGCGGGCTCGAGGCGAGGAGCGCCCGGAGCGGCGCGGCGTGGCGAGGCGGATTCGGGGAGGAGTGGAGTGGAGGAGGCGGGCCGCCGCGGGAGGAGTTGACGAAGGAGAGAGCGTCGGGGGTCCGTCGCCGGGCACGAGCTTGGGGAGCCGCCGTCGCTTGGATCCGGGGGCCACCGCCGCGCGCGCTTGGATCTCGCCGGCCGCGGGTCAAGAGCTCGCCCCCATGCCGGCGGGGAGACGACGCCATGGGTGCGCGTGCGGTGAAGCCTCGCCGGGCAGGGGCGGACTCGTCGGAGCGCCGGAGTGCAGCTTCGCCGAGCGGGAGGCGGACTCGCCGGGGCGCAGAAGTGGATCTGCCAGGGCAGCCCTCTGCGCAGAGCTCGAGCGCGGGTGATGGGGGTGGGGGTGGGAGAGCGCGTGCACAGTGGCGGCGGTGTGGACGGCCATGGCGCGGAGGCCGCGCAGGTGAGCTGAGACGAGCACGGCCATGGCGTTTGGAAGAGAGAGAGAGAATACGGGAGGTGCCATGTGCGCTTGCGGTGGCCCGTTGGAGAGGTGAAAGTTATAAGTAGGTAACTTATTTACTGTGTGTTAACTAAACTGTAAAATAGGTCTTAGATTTAGGTCACGCTGGGCTTCCTCAATGAGGGGAAACAAATCGCTAGGCGAGTGTGAATAAACAAATGAAAAAATTATCAGCCCGACAACATAGACAGGAGTGGCCCACCAAGCCAGAGACAGAAAAATCACCGGGAACGTGCGAGCTGGGCGATGAACTTGTCGCCAGCAACCAAACTTTCTGGTGGTCTCTCTCCTCCACGTATTAAGAGGCTTTAACATATTATATTAGTGGCACAGAAATTGGTGCCTGCCTGTTATGTTTTTAGTTTTCACTCATATTTGTTTTTTTAGAACCCTTTCCTCTTAGTTGCTGTTGTCCGCACATGAAGTGACACTGCTTGTATTTTGAGAGATCTTGTTGTGCTGGACTTTTGGATGTATAGTTGGTTTCTGAATCTTGCTGCTGGCAGTCGCTACGTTTTGTTTTGGACCAGACTTTCTGTGTGCTATTACTGTACTACAACGAGCAGCATCGCTCTCTCTCCAGTGTTAAGAATCTGGGCAGTAAGTTTTGGATAAGAAAACTCGCCATCAGCTGCTTGTTGGAATTTCAAAAGTAACACCGGACAACAAAATACAAGACAACTTCATTTCCTATTACGGTAATAACAGTCTCAAAAATAATCCCAGTTTCTTGATTGATCAGAATGCTGCTGTGTTGTTCTAGCAACCTTATCTGAATTCAGTTATCGGTTACGGTACCGTCTTTAGGAGATTCACAAATGCCGGATCCATACATACAACAGCCGGTGCTCCCCTCACATCAGTAGCCTTTGAGCTGGCCACCCAGTCCGGCTAACGCTATCCATTTCTCCAACGCCGTTGCAGACGACACGAACGCCGACTTTGAGGATTCAGCGTCGAGCTTGTTCACTGAAACCAGAGGATCCATGAAACCTGTCAGATTCATTCATACTGGCACAAAGCATGGATGGATCACTGGAAGATGAAAAGTTCAGAAAAGAGCCGTAGACCTTCTGCACATGTACCTGATGTAAACAATGTGGCCAGTGAGCTGTTGAAGCTGTCAACAACGTTCCTCTCCTCTGGGCTTGAGCTGAACTGTTGTTATATACACACAGGTCGAAACAGATGAAAAGAATGTTGGTGTAGAAGAGAAGCAACTGAGCTGAGCTAAGTAAGAATGGGTTGAGAGGAAGAACCTTGGAGAAAGCCACATTGATGTTCTGCACCCACTGGGCGTCTGAACTTGGTCCCAGCACGCTGCTTGCGGCTGGGAGATCATCCTTGTCAATGGCCTGCCCAACTTTGCTCAGCTTGTAGATGAGGTCCTGCAAATATCCTGTTGTTTTTGTAGATCAAACTACAGCATTGTTACTGCTGGAGCAAAGCTTCAGAGATCTTCTTGTTTCATCGTAAATAAAGGGAGAAAGAAAGAAAGAGATCAACTGCATGAGATGAACAGAGTGTGCACTGACTGACTGAGACTGACCGGTCTCGGTGCCAGAGGAGCTGATGACGCCTTGCTTCTGCAGCCGCTTCTTCCTGTCCTCCTTCACGCGCTCCAGGAGCTCGATGTCGTCGTCCTCCTCGAGGACGAGGGCCCGCGCGGCACGGTCGGCGGCGAGCGGGGAGAACGAGGCGGCGAGGGCGGCGAGCGCGCACGACGCGAGGCCGCGCCGCCGGCCGACGACGGCGGCGGCCTCACGCCGGTGGTCCTGACCACCGCCGCTGCTGACGCCTCTGAACGACACGGCTCTCTTCTTGGTCTTCCCTGCTGCTGCAAAAGCAGGAGGATGCTGCTGCACCGGCAACTCTTGCGTCGCCACCGCCGCAGCCTTGGACGCCGGGCCGCATCCGGCGAGCGCCCATGCCTCGGTGACAATGGACACCATCGTGTGATCGGCACAGGAAGCAGCAGCAGACGCAGCAAGAGGCAGAGGGGAGAAGCAGGCGCTAGAGGCTGTGGACAAAAAGCACCAAGGAAGCATGCAGCGCTGGCCCAATGAAAAGAGACCCCTTATCCTCACTATCTTGTTTCGGCCGTCACAGCCACATAAAAGTTAGCTTGGTTAGCTCAGAGGCAACAGGCAAGCACCGAACACTGAACAACATCAGGGTCTTAGTTGGCAGGCAAAGTGGCACAACATAGTCCACTACCACCCCATAAATTTCACTGTCAATTAATTACTGTCATACATACATACATAAAAAAAATCTCCTTGCAAATAGATAACTATAGTAACTAACTCCATCAATAATATGAATATAATCACTATGTTTGAATTTCATGTGTACAATATATAGCCTGTGTTCTTAGGTGCGGATGAATTATGCACAGACACACTAGCCTTTAATATGGCTAGGACGCACCTAAGGAAAAAGCGAAAAAAGAGGAGATAAAAGAGAGGCAAACAAGACTACAAGAGGCACATATATCACCAGAACCAGCTCCTGCGGCTGTCCACAGCCTTGACTGTGGTGGCTACGAGGGGCATATGGCCGTACATGGCAGCGAACGTGTTGAGACATCTTGATCTCTGCAAGCCATGGCCTTTCAAACTGCTGATGCCGCTCGATCCAATCTCAAATATCCTTCCTGCGGTGATATCAAGGACAGAGATGTGAGAAAGATACTCCTGAATGAAACCAATAACAGGTTGGATAGCATATAGCGGTGGAGCCAGAAACGCGAATTTTGTTAGAGGGAGGGGACACCAGTGCAAATTTCATAAAAAATGATCCAATTTAAAAAAATTCAATGGAAATTACACTAACTTAGGGGTCCCCCCTCCCTCGCCGCCTTCCCTCCGCCACTGATAGCATATGTGCTATCTGCTATCTCAATAGTCAATATGGCTAGTTGTTCTGTTTCTATGTTGATGCCAAGCCAATCATTTTTTTTTTTGGCAGAGGATTATTCAATTGCTACACAAGGTTGCTGTCAATTCAAGTAACGGCCAAGCAGAAAAAACCAAGGAAGTTTCAGATAATCTACAGTAACTTCCTTATGCTAGAAGATGGGAAATTCAGGAAATTATGAAAGTGACAGTGGCTTCATCAATTGTTAAATTTCACTACAGCCAAGCAACAACTCATGTGGTCAAGCAATATAAAAACTACATAGTCCTCCTAATTGTAAGTAAAATAGTATGAAAGGCCATTGTCCCTCTGACTCCAAACGAAGGATAAGGTCCCAAGACCCTACAGTGGCTGATAAACTTTGTCACGGACAAACAACAAAAAAAGACTAACACAGACTATCTATGTATGTTTTAACTAATATCCATGAACTTAAACACACTCTCCAAAGATGAAATTTATCGATGCAAGAAGTAGACAAATTCAGCTAATTCGGCAACTCTCTTGCCGTTTTTCGAAGAAAAAAAAACTTTACTTCTTGATGAAAAAGGGCGCTCAGTGCTCACTGACCTTGCACCCATACAGGTGGAGCTCCAGTAGCATTTGCAACAAGAAAAGACATTGCAATATCCTCACAGTTCCTGCCAAGCGTTAGGGTAGCGAAAGAGTAAGATCCATGGAGTGCTACACTACACATGCCAATCGCTGACAGCACCATAATAACATAGGACCCAATAACATAACCGAAGGCAATTTTTCTAGAAATGGTGAACCAGAGAGGTAGGAGTTGCACCTGTTCTCATTCACATATTTGTGAATGGACGGTAGCATTTGGTTGGTATACATGTCCAAGTACTTCTTGTGGAAGAAACTTGCTTTGGAAAGAACCATGCTGTATGTCCCTGTCCACCAAACTGACCACCAGCTTCCATATCGGTATTCCTCTTCACTGCCTCTCTGCAGAAGAAACAACTCCAATTAAGAAATGCTCCTTTTTTTTTACATATATCCTTCATATGTCCATGCAAACTTCAAACTTATTCCTATTTAATTTGTGTCAAACCAGCAATTCAAATTTGAACATAGATCTACAAATAGATACTTTCAAATTCAGACAAAACAAATTTCTCATGTTGGAATACAAATCCAATGACGTACTCGCTTGGAACTACACCAACCAATCGATTCAAAACATTACCGGGTTGGTAAGCCAGTGCATCCGCGGCACGAAGCCGACCATGGCGGAGGGCGCGCTCTGCCAGACAGAGAAGGCGAAGCGCAGCGTGGAGCAGGGGACGATGAGGTCGTCGTCGACGGAGAAGACGGCGTCCGCCGCGAGCGCCCGGATGGGCCTGAACCTGTTGTTGAGGCTGTCGGCCTCGTTGATCTCGAACCGCACGCCAGCGCCGCGACGGGTGCCGTTGAGGCCGCCGAGGACGCCCCCGCGCAGGGTCTCCGGCAGCGGCGGCGGCGGCCGCGGCTCGCTCCACACCACGTGGACGGCGTCGACGCCACCGCAGGCGGCGTAGTGCGTCACGGACCTCCGCAGCAGCGCCGGGCGCCTCCACGTGTTGATCACCACCGCGAAGCCGCCGCCGCTGCGGGTGGGCGTTTGGAAATGGAACGGGAGAGCGCGTGTGAGTGGTGACTGAGTGGAGCGCAGCAGCAGAATGGTAGCGGGCGGGGTGCGTCGGGAACGGGACGCTTACCGTGGCGAGATGGCGGAGGAGGAGGAGGAGGAGGAAAGGTCGGCGGGGCCGAGGCGGTGATTCTGGAGCGTAAGCGCCAGCGCGAGCGTGGTGGCGGCGGCCGCGAGGGCGAGGAGGCAGAGGGCGCGGCAGGAGGGCACGAATCTGGTGGCGGCGGGCGCGTGGCGGGGCGCGAGCGGGTGGCGCCGGATGCGGCCGGGGCCGTGCCTCCTATCCGCCGCCGTCGCCTGCAGCTTGAGCAGCAGCTTGGCCATCCGCGGCATGGGCACTGGCTGGCGAGGTGGCGAGCAGAGGCAGAGCAAGCAAGCCGCCAAGACCCCTCTGCGTGGCCTCTCCCGGTTGGCTCTGGCTGGCCCAGGGGTGGCACGGACGGACTACGGCGCAGCTACGGGCTCAGGTGTCACCGAGAGGCCGTGCGAGGGGCTTCTGGAAGCGGGGGAAGTAGGCAGCCGGCCGATGCGCTAGCTCCTTAAATGTGGGAGGGAGGGAGAGGAAGAGAAGTAGAAGAAGCTTCTTGGTGCAGTACGGCGGCTACCGGGCAGCCAGCAGTGCGAGTGCGATGGATGGCGATGGCGGCGGCGGCGGATGCAGTTGGGGGTGGCCAGCCCCGGCCCGGTGGAGACTGGAGACTGGGAGCCGGCCTGGTCCGGGCTGGGAGCTACAGGTACAGGTGTGGTGAAGTGCACTGGTACCTTCCGAATGTCCACGGGTACTCATGTAGTTACTGTGGGTGATTATCTTATGCCAGCTGTTTACTGTAACGTGGAGGTCATGGAGACGGTAAATAGTAAAAGACCAAGAGCATGTTTGATCCTAGAACTAACAGGTAGATGCTCAGGGCGCATTTTACACCCGGTTCGCTTGAGCTTATCGACCAGAATCAGTGTTACTTTTCAGCTATGAAATAATGTTTTTCGTTCACAGTAACTCCGTATCAGTAGCAGCTTGCGGTTACCAGAGCCATGCCCTGTCAGCGCAAGAAACGAGAAGCTCGCTCTTTTCGGCGAGCTATTTTGGATCTTCCACAGAAGCAAGAAAAATCTCGCTAGCGCAAACCTCAAGATAGGAAGGCAAGAAAACCAAACGGCTAGAATCGCTCGGAAATCTCCGCTGGCACGGTAGTAGAGTGGCAAGTAAAGAAACCAAATGCGCCCTCCGTGCTTTCTCCATTCAACGTAAGTAAGGGAGTTAGCTACTAAAAGTTAGCTGAGATCCAACCGTTTGGATCCTTAATTAACAGGTCAGTCAATGTTCTATATATATTATATATATCGCCTAGCTAAAAAGATAGTTAACAGCTTATATCTTCTAGCAAACACAATTATGGATGATCTCAAATCGCCTCAAGACTCCGGTGCCTTAGTTTTGGACGAGGTCTTGGACATTCTTTACATGTGATTTCTTTGTAAATCACTATAAATACCTTCCTACTGAATGAACCGTTTGTGAAGCTATGTTATCTTAAATGACATGTTTGCTTATTTATTGTTACTAACTTTATTTACTATGATTAGCTTAGAGAAAATATGGCTTGCAATAGTGAAAAGTCCTTACAACTGGACAAAAGTTACTGTGAAAATCTTCTATTGCCTTGCATCGCATGTAGGTCTAAGATAATAGCAAAGTGTGCAGGGGCGGAGCTAAGACTAAAATTGAACGAGGGTCTACACACACTTTGCTTACTCGGCTAGAGTAAAAAGGGTCTAATTTCCCTTGTACTGCAAAGTTTGAGTAGGGGCTTGAGCCCTCACTCGCTGTATGCTGAGTCCACTCAAAGTGTGTCTTGCTACAGTTGCGATGATAAACTAAATAGAAAAAAAAAAACTAAACAACCGGCAAGAAAATTTGATGTGATGGCTAACGACTAACAACAAGGTATACACCGTTGAAAGCAGGATGTAAGAGACGGATTCTTTTCAATAAAACCAAATATATTAATTGCATTAGCGTAATATTGAAACTTACTCTCTTCATTCCAAATTGTAATTTGGTTTGACTTTTCAGATACATAATATACGTTGCTACATATTACACAGCAAAAGTTATGAAAAACCCAAAAAAACCTAGTACAATTTAGAACGAAGAGAGGTAATAGTATTTTGCAAATGAAAAAGGATAAGCCTGCTTTTATAACCACTCACTCACCACGCTCTCCCACCTGCTTTTAAAAGAACGAGTTTTTGGGGGTAATATGGCTAGGATACCGCAAATTAAACATGACCAAAGTTTGGCGTACCATAATTTTTGCGTCTCAATTTTTCCACAATGGTCACTGTCGGGGCAGGAATGAAAACCGTCTTGACGTGACGCCAGTCTTGTTTTCCAAAAAAAAAAAAAGGAGAAAGAGGTAAGAGTGTCTCCGACAACCGGAACCTAAAATACAGGATCCATTTATTCTTTGGGTAACAAAGAATTCGATACCTATTTTTTGTCTTTTTCAACAACAAAACTCAAAAGACAACACTTTCTGTAAATAGGTCTCCAGGAGAGAGGATACTCAGATTTGGATTATGCTTCTCCTGACACCTAAAACAAATCTTTCATATACAACTATTTTATTGGAACTATCGTTCCTTTTTGTACGAAATTTTCTTCGATTAGAGATCTATTTTAAATTTAGATTTTACTACTGCCGCGAATGTCTCGTGTTGGAGACGGCCTTTTTTTTTTTTCTCGGTATGCATCGAGGCGCGTTTTTTTTTTCCTCTCAAATGGCACTGACCATGGCAGGGCGACCACCGCTGTTAGCTAACGGATTTTTTCGAGTACTGTCTAAGAAAATTTCAAGGCCAAAGATTTGTCATCATTTCCTATATTTGACAAACATAAATAATTCTCTTCATATTTTCAAGAAGTATATATAGGGTGTATATTAGACCAAAATTTTAAATTTAGATTCCGGCAATAGTCTCATGTTGGAGACGGCGTTAACGCCAGCATGTTTTGCCTCTCGGTACGGATGGCATTGACCATGGCAGTGCGACCACCGCTGCCTTTTCGAGTACTGCTACAGTCGTAGATTTGTCATCATTTCCTAACTTTGACAACATAAATACTGCTCGAGTTTTCAAGAAGTATATATATACTCCCATAACCCACAATACAAAAGTATTTATGTTTGCAATGCTATTTTTTCTCGTCAAAGTAAAATACAAAGCGTGAGCGAGGCTTAGAAAATCATCTCCTGCCACGTACAGCCGGTACAGCCGGTGCTTCTGCTCTTGTTTCATCGCAATGCGCAAGCATCAATGCACAGAGTGAGAGAGTGACTTGTGAGTGTGAGGCCCGTCCCAAAATAAAATAGCCAGCTTTAACACTAGTTGTTCTCCCTTCTCCTTCGCCTCTTTTTCAAAAAGCATTGGGGCAGCTACTTTTCTTGATGACAATATTTTCTAATTCATCGGTGGCTGCGATAGCAAAATAAAGGGCGTGATTTGTTGGGTGTGTTATTACCACATTAACATGCAAAGTAATCATATCAATTTTGTACGGTCAATCAAAATCTCAGAATCTGGCAGACTTGTCACTTGCGACACAAACCAAACATCACGCTGCTTTTGCATATTGCATCTATGGAACCTAGGTGTTAGGTGTGCTCAGCCTGACCGAGATCCACCAATCAAATCAAACCATACACCCTCCGTCTCTAAATATTTGTCGTTATTCATATGCGTGTAACAAATTTAACTTGATTTATAGAAAATAGTGTAACATTTGTATCTTCAAATAAATTTATTAAAAAAGTAGATTCAAAGATCTTTCCAATGATATTAATTATGTAACACAAATATTAATATCTTTTAATATATATTTAGTTAATGTTGTTTCTCGAAAAACGAAAACGATAGATATTTAGGGACGAAGGAAGTATACACCAAACTATTCATAGAACAACTCCAGGAATAGCCCTCAAAACAAGGTCCTACTTTTTTACTTGAGGTGCTCCCCTACTTTTGGGTGTCTAAAATTTTGCTTCCACTCCAACAACACCATCCAAATGAAGGCCCCCCCAAATTCAAATTGGCAGACAATGACATGAGGGACCCACTCATCATTGGCTCAAATCTTTCTTCCCACATCCTCCACACACAGGGACTAGACGCAAAGGAGACAAGCGCTCCTGGGGGTAGCGGCCAACGTGGCATAGCAGGCCTGTGCGACAGAGCAAAGGAGGCCGCCAGAGCAAGGGAATGGGGTGGGTCGCCGGTGAGGGAGGGAAGCCGAGGTTGCCGGTTAAGAAGAATCTGTACAGGCACGGGAGAGAAACGACCGCAACAGCTGGATGGGGGCAGAGGTGAGCCCCCATTCTCCCACAGGAATTGGGTCTGGAGGGTGAAATTAGGTGCCCACCCCAAATTGGAGGCTTTAGTAGAGGCCCTGCTAGAGCTACGTTTTTTTTGCCTGGACATTCATATTTAGCTATGGGCTCAAGTAGAGACCATATTGGAATTGTTGTCACGTCCTTAAAACTTCTCTCTCCTTATTGAGAGCTTGTTCGGTTCATCACTAATCTAATTGAACTGAGAGGAGATTTTATCTCTTATAGAAGTTAAAACAAATCTAACTCAACCTCTTTCAACCCTCTCGAATTAAGCATTAACTGAACAAAATATGCATGGCAGGTAAATCTCAGTGTGTTCTGCTTCTGGAAGTGAGGGGCCGTGGGGAAGAAAGCAAAGCTGCACAGGTCTTCTAACTTCTCATCTGGCGTACTCCCTCTGTTCTTAAATATATATCGTTTTCGCTTCCCGAGAAACAACTTTAACTAAATATATATTAAAACATATTAATATTTATGATAAATAATTAGTATCATTGAAAAAATCTTTGAATCTAGTTTTTTTAATAAATTTATTTGGAAATACAAATATTACATATTTTATATAAATCAAGTCAAACTTACGGTATGTATACCAACAGCGACAATTATTTATGGACGGATGGAGCACTAGTCAGCTACTGCCTTTCGAGATGGAGAGATAGGGCAGCAAGGAACGAGGGCTTGAGGCTTGAAATTGTTGTGAGAGGAAAAACCATGTTCGTTTCGCTGAAATTGTTGAGGCTTGAGGCCAGGAAAGAGTCCAGTACTTTGGGTTTAGGTGTTGGCGTGTGGACTGAGGAGAGATCACACGGTCAACGTAATATTCCACTGCGAGTCCCTGTAGAAAGCTTGGTCTAAAAGGACAGGAGTGACTTAACAGTCCGTTCGTCCTCAAAGTACCTTGATGGATTCAGGACTCGTCTTTTCTCTCTTTTATTTTTC